CCCCCTCCCCATCTCTCTCTCTCTCTCTGACGCATTTTTTTTCTGTGCGGTCCCTGCCGTTCGCTCCCCTATCACTGTCCTTCGCTGCTGTTCGTTCCCGAAGTCCCTCCAGGCTGGGAAGAGAAGGTCGCAAGCGACGGACGGACGTTTTTCGTGGACCACAAGTGAGTACTTGTGCTTCGCCTTCAGAGAAAATAATGCGGCTCCTTTTTGCCGAGGCCGCGAGAGCGAGCTGGTCTGCGCGCCACACACATGTGCCGCTTGTTGCCGCTGCCTGCTTTTCCCTGGTGTGTTCGATCTGTCGCTGTTTGGCCTTGTCCCCGTGAGGTGGTTTGACCCCGCGTGCTTGTCACGCTCGCACACTTCTCCCCCCACCGTGCAACGTGTCCGTTCGTCGATCTGTATTTGTCGGCTCTTGCTCTCTTGCATCGGAACGCTGCAAAACTACAATAACAGCGTCACAAACTCGATCGTTGCCGACACGTATTTTAAAGAAGCGTGTGCGAGAGATCTAACGGTTTTCCTTCGCGATTCTGCCTCAAGTTTACACGGCCGCGGCAGATATTCTGTCACGTGCAATTGCGGCGTTTCCCAGTGGAGACCAGCTTTCTAGAGGCGCGCCTGTGCCTGGCTTTCTGCCAACACAAATTAACCCGACATCGGAACGAGAGTCACGGCTTGCGGACAAGCTGTCACCACCACCGTACACATGGAGTATTCTAATGCATAGCCATGGCTCTAAAAACAGCCGGATGATTTGGGGCGATTTGACTAGAGCAATAGAAATGTCTTTTGGTTCGGTCCCAGTGCGAGCCAACGTTACAGCATCCTTTGGAAGAAGAAACGCTGCTGCACCCCTGATTGGGGGTAGTTAGGCTTGTGACCATGGAAAACGTCCTCGTCAGTTGGAGCAGTACGGACGGTAGAAGGCAACTGAGCGGGGACCGGAACGATTTTTAGTGTGAAGACAACCACCACAACGACCATGTTCCTTTTTTTTTTATGTTTGTCTACTCGGTGGTGCGAAGCGGCAGTTATATCCCTCCGACTCAAACGCTGGTGGGCAATTGGCGCCCCACGTGTCATCGGCCTTTAATTGACCCCAAGAAAATCGGTGTGCCTGGCTTGGAAACCCTTGTTGACCCCACCCACCCCGCGCGCCCCCATGCCGCTGGCTGTGCCCCCTGACTTGATGGTCGTTTCTTGTTCACGTTTGCGGTGGGCAGTACGAGATCAACCCACTGGATCAGGCCAGTTTGAACACAAACCCTCTCCGGGCACACGGGCCTGCGCGCCCGTGCCTGATTTTCGAAAGTTGTTATTCAGGAAGGTACCGGCCGCTCTCTGGAGCGCTTTCTTCGCTGTCTTCCACGTGTTTTGGGTGCCGTAAGCGTGGGCGAACGAACAACCGCGATGAGCAAGGAAGGGCTTTCCTCCCGCAGAAGGGCGAGGCTGTAGTTTGACGTTTATTTCAGATATTGCGGAGAGAGATGGCGTCGTAAAGTAATGGGAACGTGACAACATTGGTTGGCCGGTTGTTTTTCTGGCTACACAGAAGTAAGCAGTGTTGGTGTATTTATATTTGCTTGCCTTACCACGTTTAGTTTCTGTGTCGCGTGTCATGTTGAGTATGGATGGATGCCATCGAGAGGTAGTAGTCGTGCCCACTCTTTCGTGCGGTTTTGGTGTTGGAAGAACTACAGCTGACCCCTTGTTTATCATTACTATTTATTATTGATGGTCCTTTTTTGGTCACCCGTCGGTTGGAAGGTTTTTTATTGTAGAGGAGGGGAGAGATTTGTAGCATCATCAGTCAGTCAGTGTATCATACAATGAATGGTAGTACTCGCGCTTGCTCGCGCCCCCAATGTTAATTGTTTGGTTTCCTTATTCGTTGTCTAGTCTTCTTGGCAGCAAGATTGCCCAGATAAAAGGGCCACAATATTTCTGTCTGGAGGGACAGGCTAAACAAGGAGACATGGCGGAAGAGCTAGCCTTGTTGCCGAAATCCAACCAAGGCTGCTCACCTTCCATCCAAGTTGTTCAATCCCGCACCATTTGGTTGTGTTCAAAGAAAGTGGTTTTTTGTGTCGACGTTGGGATTTGTGGGTGAATCCCATTGAGTGGTGGTATTTGGCTCCAACCTCTTTTGGTTGGTTTATCGCAACCCCCACTGCAGGAATTCTCCACTTCGAACCCGTTTTGGGAAGTCTCCATTATTTGTTGGGCAAGGGCTGGCCCTGTAGTGAATTTCGTCCATTCTTACTAGACAAAGCGAGTTGACCAATGACCAGTCCAACTAACCCTCATTTTTGTGGCAAACGGGAACTAACATAAATTCCTTCTCGCGTAAACAGTGCATGCACCATGCGAAGACACAACCAACCGCACCACCGCAGAGCAGAGTAATCCTGTTGAGCAGTAGCCAGTGTAGCGACGGAGATGTCGGCGGAGATCGAGATGAGATTTCACAGGAATAGGGGCACGACGAATGACCCCCCCCTCGTAAACGCAGCAAACAACCACGGCGCCCCCCGGTCCCGCCGCCTCAGTCAACACAGAACAGCACGTTGCCACGTCTTGCCACGTACCACTTGCCGTGGCGATGTCTAGGCCCGCTAGGCGTAGCACGTGCGTACCCATGGCTTCCTGCTAAGCTCCAGGATTAAGTTACAAGTAGGCTAGATTCAGCAGCAGCGTTGAGCTTCCAGATCGAACACCAGCACGCGGGAAAACATGTTGACCATGCCGGCGGCAACCGCCGGGGCGATGCTGCTGCTGCTGCTGCTTGTTTGCTCGTGCTGCATCTCTCGCGCGTTCGTGTGCTCGCCCCTGTCTGGACGAGAGTCCTCGCCGCCGCCTGTCATGGAAGCGCATCGACTCCGATCACACGGTGAACGGTTAAGTAGACGGTTTACGCTCAGGCAAGCGACCTCGAGAACTCGTCATGCTCGCAACGGTCTGTACTGCAATAACGGCGGAGGCGCACGATCGTCATCATCAACTTCCAGCGACAGCTTTGTTAGACGCGACAAAGGAAGTGACGATAAAAGAGTTGACTGCGGCGACGGTGGGGATGAGACGCTTTCAATCACGACGTTCAACGTCCTGGCCCCGATATTCAAGCGGGTGGGCAACGGAAGGGAGAGCGAGTTCCGAGAAACGTACCTCGAGCGTCACAAGGCCATCCTCAAACACATCAAGGTAGAGAGCAACATTGACGCCGCACAGCAGTGGCAGTAGCTGCAGGCCAACGCCACTGCCGTGGTAGTGCTGCACGCTTCCACAGACATGCCACAGCTATTGCAACAGGCGTGGGCGTCCGTAGGTACATGACGTTCACCCCTTGCTTGTCGCGCCCCCTCCCGGTAATTCCGGCAGTTACAAGTTACCACGGTTAGACTAGTCTTTCTGTGTGTGTACTTATTTTTCCTAGAGTTACCAGTAGGTTGCATCGCGACAGCGTTTTGTCTTATGTATGTCTCCACAAAGTAAGCGTGTCAACCAATGAGTCGTGCGTATACGAGGAAGAAGACCACCCAACCTACAACTTAGTTGTGGGTGACGGTCGTGGTACACGACGCTGGAGATACTAAATATACGCGCCGTGATACTGTACGGCCCCCAAGGCAGCTAGAGCTGTGCGACAGGCGGTCGGGTAGTAAGCCGTTTCCGTCGTATTGGCGAAGAGGGTTTGGACGTTTGGACTGACTGGCTTGACCTGGTTACATTGTGTACAGCAGTGGCCGTTACCGCCTGCTCGCTGTGCGATTTGATTGTTGGTTCATAGTCTAGCCCTCCGACAGATACTGATTGCCGACGCCGACGCCGGTGCTTCCTTTCACCGGTTACGGCGTTGCTTCACACAGTGGAATAGGGCATGTTGACTTCTACCCATACTGAACATCCTACGTACCTTACTCGCTGACAACGATGTACCTTTGGGAACCCGGTCAGCCGTTCTGCTGCTGACAACAGCGTATCTGTGGAGTCCCGATCAACCGTGTCGCCACGGCAGTGCGTATGCTAAGTGGGCAATGCGCCAGCCCCCTAAAACCGCCTCCTCCGTCGTTTGAAACGTTTTCGTCCGTCGGTGTCCTTGCTTTCTTCCCCGTGCGTCCTCTTGCGCCAGGGGGTCGGCAGCGACGTGGTGTGCCTGCAGGAGCTCTGGGTCGCCGAGCAGGAGATGGTCGACATGTATCGAAGGTTGTAGACAATAATCCATGCGAGATTCCAAGCTGGCACTCTATGAGAAGCGTTGTTGCGCTTGTTGCCCGCAACAACCCATGGTAAAATGTCGCACAGCAGTCTTGTACTGCGCGATCTATTCCGTTCACATGTGACATGCATCCGTAAGAAAGCCGGCAGGCAAACAGGTGTACAGGGAAGGTGTGGACATACCGGAAACGGCCGTGTCAACCACCGCCTATGTGTGTGTCCTCGCGGCAACGTTTGTCTCTACCCCGTCACCTGCCGGGAGACGTCCACTACACATGTATTTTCCAGGCTACACGTGGTTGTTGAGGTATTTCGCAACTTTTCCGCCCCCCGGTGGCGTGCATCGTTTCACGAGGCTGTATTGATTGGAGGTAGGCAGGTAGCCTGGAAAACACGTCACCTCGTGGTTTCCGGTGTGCACGAAACACGGGGCACCGAAACAGGCAAGCAAGAACGCTAACTACCTGGTGGGCAGGATTGGAGAATGTACGAGTAAAAAAAATGGAGACCAAGCGGGGAGTAGAGACAGAGAGGCAAGAGAAAAACAGAGAGGGATGCAGCACTGCTGTGTGAGACAGCGCGGAGAAACGGCGACGGATAGACGGAGGAAGGGACGGGCAGGCGGCGAGAGAGGCGGCAGAAGGAAAGCCCGTGGGATGCACACGTCCCCACCCTCTGTAGTATAGCGTTTCTCTCGCCTTCCCTGAGGGAACTTCGGGCGTGTTTCCATGGCCCTCACAGCAGTCGCGGTGCTGCTCGCGGAAGAATGAAAAACCGAGTGCATGGCGCGTCTCATCACGATGGTAGGGCGGTGGATCGTTGCTCGCGTCGCCTGCTCTCGGTGGTCGTTTCTTAAGTGTTTGTGTTTGTTTTGTGTATTTTTCCGTGGCGCCTCGTCTGCTGCAGAGGCTTGCGGGGGTACCGTATGTTCACGTTGCCTCGCACGGAGTCGAGAGGGGACGGGGTGGCTTGCTTCGTGAAGGAGGGGATCGAGGTGCTGGACACGCAGGTACGGAAAACGGCGTGGCGAGTGTTTTTTTGTTCGCGTGTGATCGATCGGCTTTCGTTTGCCGTGGTTTGTTTCCTTGGCGTGGAGACCCCGCTCGTATGTGGACGTGTACCTCTACTCTTTCGGCGTTTGCGTTGCTATGTAGTACCTATTGTCTTGCCATCGGTGAGGAACCATGTGCCGGCGTTACAAGCAGCTTGCCTGTGGCAACCATAGGCGAGCAAACAAGTGTCCGGGCACAGGATGTCACTCCTCCCCCCCCTCGTTCCAACTTGGCTTAAACCTGCGGCTATGCTTGCAGGACTTGCGGCTCAAGGGCGTCGGCGGGAGAGTCGCGCTGGTCTTGCGGCTAGGCATCGGGGGAGGGGTCGAGGGGGGGGACAGGCGAGAGGTTGTCGTTGCCAACACCCATCTCCTGTTCCCGCACGCGAGGTGAGCAGAGCCGTGGCGTGTGGAACGTCGAATAGGCTACTTGCTACAATAGCTGGCTGTGTTTTTGTCCCTCTCTGTGAATTGTCCCTGCCGTCCCTCGCTCGCCGTGCCTTGCCTAGCTGGCGATGTCATGACTCCGTTGTCATGACCGCATGCCTGTGTGCGTGCGTGTTTCATGGGGCGGGAGGGTCGTGGATTGGTGATACGTCCCACACTCGCGGCACAAACACCAGTTCGTTTTTTTTTGCCACGAACAAGCAAGGGGGTATCTTGGGGAATTTGTCGTGAAAGCCTTGCTTATTTACTCCGAATCACTGGACCCACAACCACCCAGATCGTACTACCCTAACTCGATTGCCTTCCTGCTTGCTGTCTCTCTGCCCCCCCCCCCCCCCCGGCCCTTTTTTTTCTGTGGGGGGGGTTTTTCCCGGGACCTTCAAAACCCGGGAAATTCGGAGTTGGGGAAACTCCCCCCCCTCCTGGGGTGGTACACCCAGGGGAAACACAAAAATGAACCCAACTCCCCCGTTCCCTGTGTTTTGTGGTGGGGGGGGGCCTGAAGGTTGTGGGTTGACTGGAGCCTCGTTGCGAACGAAGCAGGCTAGATCGCAAGCGGGAAGAGGAGCAGCCGGGCTTGGCCTCGGGGGGAACTCCGTCGTACGCTCCGGCGGAATTATTTGTTTTTATTTTTCGCACGAAAATGCGGACCAGGGGCTGAGGGCGACAACCCCCCTCGCCCGTCTTCCTGCCCGCCGCCTTGGCCTTCGGCCCCCCTTTTTGTGGTAACAAACGCGTCTTCCAAGTGTTTCCAAGTGTTATAGCACGCGTCTACCGCATGCTGTTCAGCACCACCGCACCTGAACCTGAAACGCAGCTAGGTCCGCTTGACCCGCCCTCAAGACGGCGGGGTCTTATCCGGCTCCTCATTGAAGCCTTATTTTTTTAACCGTGTGCTCCTCTGCCCTGCACAAAAACCGCCAAAAAGACCAACGACCTTGCCCATCTCCCGGTGGTGCTGTGCGGCGACTTCAACGGGAGGTCCTCGGGGAGAGTCTACCGGCACCTCGCGGAGAGAGGCTTCAGGTGCGAGACGAGCTACGTGCCTGCCACGTCTGAAAATCAACGAAGGATTTGGCCATCTCCATTGTGATTGTTTGGGGCTGCTGATCTCTGTTCTTCGGTTGTGGTCCGTGTCTACCACCCTAGGTGCCCACCCGCGGCCTGATAGCGGGGTTGGGGTGGAGTACCGGAGCGAGAAGGGGCTAGGTTGATGTGGGTGATTTTGCTTGCATGCGGCAGAAGGAAGAAGAGATGGAGGCGGTTCGTCGTTGTCGTCGGCACGTTGCTCAGATACTGCTGTACAGAGGGAGAGAGACAGAGACAGAGACAGACAGAAAGAGAGGGAGGGCGAGAAGAGACAGAGACAGAAAGAGAGGGAGGGAGAGACAGAGACAGAGACAGACAGAAAGAGAGACAGAGACAGAGACAGACAGACACAGAGAGAGAGAGAGAGGGAGACAGAGAGAGAGGAGAGAGAGACACACACACGCAGCAAGAGACAGAGCGTTCAAATACACGAGGCCGGGATCGAGCAACCCCTGAAACCGCAAGGCGTGAGTAAGAACACGGTATCCCGGGCACCATTCACGTGGCTCATGTCTGTCCGCTATTCTTCTCTTGTGCTTGGTCCGTCAGGTGTTCCTACGAGGTCACGCTGGGTCCCGGGGCCGACATCAGCCGCTGGATCACACACCTTAATCACCGCGGGGAGGAGCTGGGAGTTGACTACATCTGGTTCCGCAACCCTGACCCTCGGTTAGAACCTATGGAACCTGCCTGGGAAAGCATCGTTTATCAGGTACTGCTGTAAGACGTATTTTGCTCTTTTTTGCCTTTGAGCACCAAAACTGCTGGGGGGGGGTGTACTCATAGCCGTGTATGCCGTAGTGGTTAGACCGTTGATTGACCTCGCATTCCTTCAAAGCCGGGACGGAGCACGCCGGGTTCTCACCGGACCAGAAAGGAAGAGTCTTTCTTTTGTTGTACTTAAAATTGATTCGATTTTTTGTTGTGGGAGGGACATGGAGGTACCATTGATTGCGTCGTAGTTTGCTGATCATTTTTGCTTTCAAGCGCACCGAGTTGGTGGCTTTTCTGCTTCTGATCATTGGTTTGCTGTCGTTTGCTCCTGCTGACGCGTGCATGTCCTCATGACTCCACTTTGCTGTCGGCCCCCGTTTCTTGCTCTGCTTTCCCTTTTGCCCCCTCTTCGCTTGCTTGCTCTATCTTCCTCCGTTCTCATGGTACCCCCCCTGCCCCTTCCCCCTACCGAAACCCACCACAACCATGGCGACAATTACCGCTGCCGACGCCCCCACCGCCACCACCAACCAAAAGTCCACGAAGCAGCAGCTCCTTTCGTCTTACCCAGACGAGCCTCCCGAACAAATACGGTCGTCGGGAGCGGCATCGGCGGCCGCGGCGGCCGCGGCGGCCGCGGCGGCGGCCGCGGTGGCGGCGGCGGCGGCGACAACGGGGAGGGAGGGCGCAGACACCACTGTCGCCGACGAGGAGGACGCCAACATAGAGAACACCAGGCTGTCCACGGCTTGCCAGCTGCTTGGGTTGAGCGAAGGCTTCGAGCTAGACGGTATGGGTTGCATCTAGGCGACGCGGGTGTTGGGTCTGCAGCGATTGGTATGTTGGGAGGTGCGGGCGAAATTCCCGTTTGTAGCGTTGGCGTTGTTGGTGGTTTTGCGCGCTGCGCGCTGTGCGCTACACAAAAACTAGTAGTTGCTCTTACTGCCTTTGTGGCTTCTGCGGCACGCGCATGCACGGGCACGCGCTCCCGCGTGAGCCTCCCGGGGCGGGCGAATCCATAGAGATGCGGAAGTTTGATGCGATAGGTTCTTGTTTAAGCCGCGTGGCGAACACAAACGTGTTCTTCGAGCCACTCGGTGGATTGGACAGCAGGTTTGAGGTCTATTTAATGATATTCTGGAGCAGTTTCTCCCGACCTTGACCTTGAGGTGTAGGGCTAAAACCACTCCAGTAGGGATAAAACCACCGCAATTCCCCAGCGACCCAGCTGAAGCAGCGGTTCATATGATCATCCGCCACTATTTCATTCGTTCTATTCGACACAAACTTCCGCCTGCGAAGATACTCAGCACAGGAACCTGCCGAAGCACCCACCCATCGATCGCCGAAAACAACCACAAACGAACCGCAGCAGCGGTCACCAACAAGTAACCACGGCCCGTTCTTGCTGCTTGCTGCTGCCTCTTACCCTTTTACTGAATCGAACCAGCGGAGGAGCTCCAGCTTCTCCTAGACAGCTCTGACGACGACTTCGACTTCCTCGTCCCCACCATTCTCGATGGGAGCTCCACCGGGCTGGAAGGGGCACAGCAGTCAGGGTTGGGTGCGGGGGGTGCCTCTGGCGACGCGTGCGGCTCCACCCTGGAGGTGGGTGGCGGCTATGTGTATCGAGGGAAGAATGTCCGAGGACCACTGCTGTAGGCTGCAGAGGATACCACGCCCCCTGGATCGATTTTCAACGCTCGATTTGCTTAGGGTTGATTTTCAACGCTCGAATAACGTAGGTTGTATGGTGAGATACCACGCCCCCTGGATCGATTTTGAAAGCTCGATTTTGCTTGGGGTTGATTTTCAACGCTCGAATAACGTAGGTTGTATGGTGAGATACCACACACCCTGGATCGATTTTTGAAAGCTCGATTTTGCTTAGGGTTGATTTTCAACGCTCGAATAACGTAGGTTGTATGGTGAGATACCACACACCCTGGATCGATTTTTGAAAGCTCGATTACTCCAGGATGCCTAAATCAAGTGACGCGTTTTCGGAAAGCTCTCGAGGACGCCGCCATTTTCGGCACCATCACTGCCTTTATTTTCTGTCCAGTAATCGAGCCTTGAAAACCGGTCTCGGGGGTGTGGTATCTTGAGTCATGCCACCTTGTAGGCGGTAGACTGATCGGGAGTTCGAATCCTAGCGAGGGTGTCACGCATTTCGCGCCTGCCATAAATAGTGATGGAAAGAAGCGCGTGTTCATGACAAGGCTTAAGGGAAGGGGAGGCCGTAGTCTTGATCGCGTTTTGATAGGTCAAGACGTGTGTGCCGCGGAGGAATCTGTCTTTTCGCGACCCGGGATTAGCGCTGTAGCTGTGGAGGACATGCCTCACGGTTGTCAGAACGGCGGGCGGCGTGGTGTATCGCAAAGGGATGCGGAATAAAATGACACACCGAAACTACAAGCAGAAAATAATAGAGACCATGTTCTAGGAGATGGATGGTGCAACAAGAATTTATCGTGTATAGTGGTATGTGTGTGTGTTCCGTCCCATCTATTCTGGCGCCGGTTTAAAGGCCTTTCGGCGTATGTACCTGACGTATCAGCCGGTATGTAGCAATAAAAAGATAGCACCGAGGTGATCCTTGTACTAACAGATGCAATGTCAATGTCAATGCCAATGCCCACAACGACGAAGGCGAGCAATACAGAAAGCGGCCGCACTCAGGAACCTAGAAGTTTAAGTCAAGAAATTGCGTCGAAAAAAATACATCGAAGCTTGCAAGAGCTTGAGAAACCATTTTGAGCCCAGCTAAGAACCCCTACACTAAAAACCTATATAGCGGCCATTTGTAGCCCACAAAGAGGAACTACTGTAAGAAACCCCCACCCTCGGCCGAAACTGTAGTTTTTTTTTTTTTTTAGTAGTGCGGGCGCTATCTGTATTTAAGGAAGCACGCCCCGCCTTCTGCACCCCCCCGCCCCGCCCGCGCTCCCGGGACACTTTTTTCCAGCCGACATCCTCCAGAATATGGCCGCCGTCCTTAGAGCAAGGCCACTGGCCGTCGGACTACACCATGAGCGACCACGGCTCCCTGACCGCTTCGTTCAGAGTGGCGCCGGCGAGGGAAGGAGCGGCCTTGGCGCGGGGCTCTGCTGAGCGGCAGCATCGGTCCGCGGGGACCGGGGAAAGTTCCGAGGAAAGTTCCGAGAATGTTATCAGCGGTGTGCTGTCTGAGGCCGTGAGCTCTGACGGTACCGCCCATCACGAAGACGACGACGGACACTACGGGCTGCGCTGACGGTGCCCGTGGTTTGGCTGGTTCGATCGAATCGTGCGTGTATATTTTGGTGGGAGATGGTTGCGACGAAGACTATTTGTTTATATCGGGCGCGATATAGAGCTGCGCTCTGTGTTTGTTTGCGGACGGTCGATGTCTGTTTTGCGAGGCCGATGCGATGACAGCTGTTTTTTTTATTTTATTGGATCGAATAGGACTGACGATCATCATGGCATGCATTACTCTGTATAAATGGCGATGTTGTTGTTGTTTTGGGTCGGAAATTCCGGCACGTTCATGCGGTGTGAGTTTCTTGGGGATTTAATTTTGATTGGGGTGCTGTGTGGGCTTGTGGTTTGATTTTCGTCAGGGCATTATATGGTTTGTGGTGGTGGTGATAAGGGGGGGCGGGGGGCGGGGAAGAAAATAAACGCCAGTTATCTCTTCGTTTGTTCGCGAGAAAATAAATGGCAACCAACGGATGCGATGGACGACTGCGCAAGGGTTGTCGACGGGCTGCGCGTGCAAGAGGTTGAGGCAGAATTATATGGTTTGTTTGCGTACCCGGAGTGTTTCGCGCTTGTTTGCTGCCCTTCCTCTCGAGATGCTGCCCGCCTCTCTCGCCCTTCTTTTGACGTTCTATGCGTTTCGAGCTTGGCCGCCTTCGTCCGGTGGGCATGTTGTGCCCCCCCCCCGCATTGCTGCTTGTTGTTACATATAGTTCGCAATATTGTCCGGCGAGAACTGGTGGCTTGGATGAGATGAGGGCTCGTTGAGAAGGCCGGGGCTGTATGCCCGGCGTGTTGAGAATGTTGGTGTGATTCATAGCCCACCGCTTGCAGTAGCTAGCTGCCGAAAGCTTCCTCGAACTATGTTGACGGTTTGTATTTAAAACAGCGAGATGGTGCTCGTGTTCTAGAGCCCGCAGGCAGCCAGACCCTCACAAGCACGGACGGGAGCCAGACCTACAGCAGTTACTGCTGTATCTGTATTTCTTTTTATTGTTATTTCGAAAACAAAACAAATTCGTCTTTTCCACGGCTAATCGTCCCGGATAGATGGACAATGAATTCAGGAGGAGTGTTGTCTGATGACCATGCATATTTTCTTGTCTTTTTTTCCGATGTGCACACAACAACGAAACCCTGCGACTGAGTGAGGTTCTATCTCCAACAGGTAGTCTTTCTGTGAGGTTATGTTTACTTTCTAAAAAAACTGCTTCTTTCGTATTGTGGTGACTAGTTGGTATCATCTTTGCGGTGGGTTGAGCAGCCATAACAATCACTGAAAAGTATTCTTGTGCCAACTACGTACGTACCTTACATCACAAGCAAGCATGTCAAGAATTTTCTTCGTGTGTGTGCTTCGTGAAATGGTCTGCTGCGTGCACCTCGTCAGAATGAATGAACAGAGGCAAGCCCGATGTATATATATCCCCACCCAGCACCTTCGTTGGTCCAGCTTACGCGGACGGACGGACGGACGCATTTCCGTGGCCACATGCCCTTGAAAAGGCTTGTCCCAAAACAAACCTCTTGCGTGACGACGAAACCCTGCGGTAGCAGTGGGCTTTACCCTAATTCTTCGCTTGAGAGACAAACCAGTCAGTCAGTCAGTCAGTGTGGCAAGGCGAGACTGACAGCAAGCAGTGAACGATTTGACCGAAAAAAACAAACCAACACCGAAGGTAAAGCCTGCTGAGTGAGGCTGTTTCTTAGCCTGCTGAGTGAGGCTGTTTCTCTCTACCACTGTTAGTTTTTTTTTCGTGTTGTTGTATAATTGTAGGGAGAGATTAATGTAGGCTTCCTTACGCGGGAAGAAAATGGCAACATCCTTTTTTATACAATTTTCGTACAGACCAAATATTTCCGAGGGTTCCGGCCGGCGGCGAATAAGAAAATCAATGTTGAGTTTTCCGAGAAAGTAAACTGGAGAGGTTTTGAACCTCGGTGACGCCGCCACACCCTGCCTGGCGTTGTACTGTACAACGTTCTCGTCATCAGTTCGTAGTATGTTTCACATGGCAACATTGGCTCCCAGAAAAAAACAAAAAATTCCTCCACCTTGCTCCACTCACTGAAAAGACTCCAACACACATCCCGTTCGACTGTGTGGGTATATCTCGAAACCAACCGTGGGTAGTCTTTCTGTGTTTGTATTTGTTTTTCCTAACAAATTCTGAAGCTGGCAATGGGTGCCTTTGAAAAAGGGCGGACACACATCTGTCTATCTATCTGGGTGGGGGGTGCCGAAGGAGGTTGGTTGCCACCAACCGGTCTGTCTGCCGTCAGGGCGCGCCCGCGCCGCTTTGCAACCAGGAAAACACCGTCAGGTTGGGTGTGTGTGTGTGTGTGTAGACTATTTATTATATTTAGTGTGTACATGTACTGTTGTAGCGTTTCACGGCGATTCATGCCTCCACCTGCCGCTTCTCGTGTTCCTACGAAGAAACGTGGGAACGCACCAAGTCTTGCTTGTTGACGACCTCTCTCTGATCTTCGTCTGTGATGATGATTCAGTACATTCAATTCGGGTTGGAAGATCTGACTGTGTCGAGAGGAGTAGTAGACATCGACTCGACATCAGCAACAAGAAGAGCCATCACCCGTTCGTCCTGGTGAGGTTGAGCCTCGTCGCCCGATCACAGAAGCGTGATAAGTAAGTCATTTATCAGCTCACCAGCCGCACAAGCACAGCAAACAGCGAATGTACCGCCACAAAACGCAGAAGAAGAAAGACAGGGAAATCCAATAGAGCAAAGAAAAAACAAGAAACAAGAAAAAATCTTATAATATCACGTCACTACGGGCCCCGTTTACTTGGCTTTGTGCCCACATAACGTGGAAAAAACGAAAAAACAACAGGCAGGCACGATTTCTAGCCCCACACACGACAAAAAAAAATGCACGAGTTTGTCTGAGCACACCAACAACCCCAAGCTCGAGCATATTCCACCGCCTACACTCAAGACGTAAGGCAATGAATGATGTTGTTCCCAAAACTTGGGTTGTTTGGTCGTGTTGCGTGGGGAGTCGAGTCGAAACGGAGCCAAAAGTGTTCCGTTTCGCCACCACCACGCGATGACATCGAGTTCGCCACAGCACACATTCATTCGTCCAACTCCGTCCGAAACATGCAGAACAACACACACACATAGACGATACACAACGACCGCGGGTCGGTGTGCCGCCCTTTGTTCCTTTTGCTCGTCCGTTCGTTTTCCCTGCAAAAAGCCAAGAGGCGCGAAATACGCCGACCCACAACGAAAGCAAAAAAAAAAAAAAACTCGAAAACAGCAATGTGCGTGCAACGAAGATCGTGTGAATGAATGCAGTTCTTTGAACGGAGAGAGACGCGAGCAACTGACGACGAGGCGAGATATAAAAAAAAATCTTAAAAAAAATGAAGAGGTCAAAAAGCATTCCGACGAATGCATCACGTGCAGATACCTACAGACGACGAACGAATCCACGATCAGATCAGATACGGGAGAAGGTTCGAACAAAGGCCAGGATCAAACCAGAAGAAGCCGCCGGCATCGGGAGGGCGGGGGGGGGGGGCATAGAAAGGCCTTCCAAGAACTCCACAAAAAGAAGCCTTGAGATGACGATTTTAAGCCACTTCGGGGGTTTCACTCAGACCACGTGGTAAAACCAAGAAAGATATGTCGTACGGAGACAATAATAATATCCATGTGTGTATCAAGAACAACCAAGCGTAGATC